TTTTTTTTTTTTTTTTTTTTTTTTAGGGTTTACCCAAGGGCACATGTTAAGAAAGCATTAATTATATATATTTTTAGTTAATTTATATAAAAAAACAAAAGTTGACTTTAAATTTATCAACTACCTAATAAAAATCATTCAAGTGGTATTTATGTTAAAAATAATGTTTTATTTTTACATTTTTCTATAAAAATTTCTTATAAATAATGCATTTAATACACTTTAAGGCACATATTAGATAAATTATTTTTTATATTAACAAATAATCTAGAAACACTTATTCCTAAAAAAATAGAAGGAATAAATATTCCTCATGGAAAATGATTGGTGCTCTTTTTGATTCAACATACCCCTCAACACCTATCAATTCAGTCATTAAAATCCATAGTTTCTAATTTTCTCTCCTTTGGTTCAAATTTAAAAATAATAATTTTTTAATAAGCATATTGTTGAACAAAAATGTGTACTAATCATTGTGCATTCCTCATTCATCCCTTAGTTTAGTAGAAAATTATTAGTGTTAAAACCTATCTATTCCTAACTTCCTAAAAAGGTTTCTTAAATTTAGGTTATTTTTATAGTTTAATTAAGTAATAACTATTTTTTTTCATTATTTGTTGATTAATAAAAGACAAAAAATAACTATTACCACCAACCAAACATGATAAAAGGGTTTGCATTTATAAAGGGAAATGAAGGAGAAGAGAGGGAAATGTAAGGATACTCCTTCGTTCCTCCCTCTTCCCCTCATTTGGATTGGTTAAGTGGTCAAAACTGCAATTTAACAATCTCTTAATATTCTTTAGTTTTGATCTCTAAGAGTGCCTAAAAAGAATTCTAGAGAAACTCAAGGTCTAGTCTTGTATGGTTATAGAATTGAAAGAAAACCCTAGAAGTCTGCATGAACCAATTGCTTAAATTGCCCAGAGGATTAACACCTCTATGCTTGGTGTCATCAACCTTGATTAATAGAGATATTAGTACATGTCGAGATTTGGTACAAATATGGATATAAATTTTCAAAAATTTTCTAATTAAAGATATGAATTTCTTTTTCTTTCCTAATCAAGATGATTACTTTTTAAACTTTTTTATAACAAATGATATGACCTTAATGATTTGAGGAGTGTTAGGGATATTCTCTCTAACACTCTCTTTTGAACACTCTTTATGTGATTGGGTCACATGAAATATAAATTTAATGTGATTGGTAATTAATAATTGATATCAAAGTTAATGTTCTTAAAATTTGAAATTATGATTAATCACATTAAATTTATATCACATGTATGCTAATCACATGAATAGTGCCTAAATGAGAGTGATAGAGAAAGTGTCCTTAGCATTTCTCTTATGATTTTACTAATCAATATTATCACCTTTCAAAAGTTTTTCAAAAGTTTTTAATTAAGAATCACTACTAGAAAATGCAGTATAATCGACAGAAAATATTGTCGATTATACAAGTATTTCTGTCGATTATATTTTAATCGACAGACATAATCGACAACAATTTTTGACGTAAAAACAACAGTCGAAAATGACTATAATCGACAAAAAATTTTTCTGTCGAATATAATTATATAATCGACAGTTATTGGCTGTCAAATATAGGTATAATCGACAGCCAATGGCTGTCGAATATACTTGGTAAAAAAATAAAATAAAAATACAAAATTTATTAAAATCCAGAATTATATTTATAATTTTTCTGTTAATTAAATTATATAAAAAAATAATAA